CCGCCTCCGCCGCCTCCCCCTCGCCGGGGCTCCGTCCGCCCGCGCGGTTGCCGGGCCTTCGCTCTAAGCGCCGTGGTTGCGGATTCGAGCCCCGCCGCCTCCCACTCACCTCGCCGGCGGCGACCGACGCCGAGCCGTGCGTCTCCGCACGTCCCGCCCCGCGCCCGGCGGCGGGGCCGGGCCTGGGCTCCGCTCCGCCTTTCCCCACAAGGGGGGGAGGGGAAAGGGCAGCGGTGTTAAGGCGGCGAGGAGGGATGGATGGGTGGTGGTGGCGTCTCCTCGCATTAGCTTAAATTGTACGCGAACGGGTCGGAAAAAGCGGGATTTTTTTTTCCAGCGTCATCCCTCTTGAGGTCCGCCCTCAGGCATTCGCAGTTTTGGGCGCCCACTGATGAAAAACCTATGGTGCTGCGCTTTGACAGCGCGCAGTTTCCACAGTTTTTTTAAGAGAAAAGATGTTTTTTAGCGCCCTTTTTTTTTATGAGAAAAGCTGTTTGTAGCTTGGTTTTCTTCTGCAGAAAGAAGACTGCTGCTGCTTTCATGCAGACTCTTCCTCTCCGCCCTTCCCAACACCACCTTTTAAATCGTCGTAGCCCTTTTCAGAGATTGCGTACATTCCCCCCTCCCTCTCCCCGTAAATTACCAGGTCTCAAAAACGCGTACCCAAAGGTGGCAAAGGCTGAAAGGCAAGTCCCACCGTGTGGGATGTGCTCTTTCAAGTCCACCACCAGCCCCCGTAGGCCGGGGGCAGCTCCTGTCTCCCACCCGGCCTCTTGGCACAGGGCAAGATCGAGTTACCTGATCGAGTTACCCGAGGGCAGGGGAAGAGAACACCCAGAGGTTGCTCCCAGGGGCTTGGGGCGATGTTTCTCTCATTACACTGCTCCCTGGCACTTGTTATTGTTTACTTAGTACCAGCACGTCGTACTCTGCCTCCAGCCGCAAACACGACGGAAGCCTTTGGTGGGGGAACCTTTGCGTGTTGCTGATCAAACTGGACCGTGCTGGCTGTTCTCTGAGCACTCTGCCGAGTCTCCATAAAGGCCCCAGTGTGCTTGGAAAACCAGCACGTCATAAATTCGGAAAACAAGATGAAGGCCAGCGTGATCTAGCTTAGCATTCTAACTACCCCGATGGTCAGAATCTGGTAATGCTACGCGGAGTGCAGATACAAACAAGAGGTCAGATTTGTTGAATGAGGGATTGCCTCTGCTGAAGGTTATTCAGTATCACGATTGGGGTTGGTTTGGTATTTTTTTAATTGAGATCTTGGTATGGACTGGACACCCTGCTTATTAAGCTGTGTATTTTGATGCTGGTTAATATTAAAAAAAAAAAAGGGCAATTTGCAGTTGCACTATCACCACATTTTTCACCCCACTGATTCCAAAGTTCAAGACAGCAAACTCCTAGTCTAACATTACACTAACAGGAAAAGGTGCTTCTGTTTATGTACTAGAGTTTTGAAAAGCACATCAACCCAAACGCTTTCATTTTCTTATTACGTCATTGCACTCATTAAATATGTTCCTTCTAACTTTACATTAACCCAGGGCAGGGCATGTTAACATGCAAGGTTTGCAGAAGTACAGGTCTTTTAGTAACAACAGAACTCACAATAGCACAGGTTATGCAAAATGGGTACGGCACAAGGTTGGCTTGTTCTGGTCTCTTTGGCACATATAGATTGCATACCCCAAGAGGCACAATTACCCCAGTGTTTCTGAAGCAATCAATCATGCATTCTGTATTCTCAGAAGTCTGAAACAATGAAGAGCCCAGCTCAGCTGATGCTAACCTGATGTAAATACCGAATCTTTGCCATAAGAAAACGGCCATGTTGACTTTCCAATTTGTTTGTAGTGGCCTCAAACAAATATGATTATGCAAATATGTATATTTGCTAAGAAGCTTTATAAAAGATTAAAGTGACATCTAAAATTAACTTCAATATAGTGGGGTGTTGAGTGTAGGTATGTGGCACTGTTCTACAGTCATTTGTGCCTGATAAAATAATTCTGCATAAAATGTTTTTCTATTATGGTAATTTCCTCCAGCAGCAGTGTCATTAATGCAGTGAGAGCAACTCTATGTGGATACCAGATGTATGAAATGTTCTGCAAGGATATGCATTTCACCAAAATCAATTAACACGTAAGAATCCTGTCTCAGAAGAGCCAAAAGCCATGTCAAGGGCAAGTGCACTGAACTTCACGGCCCCTCCTTTCACCACCTTTCCCTGACACACTACCCTCCCAGCAGCCAACCCTGTTGTAGGCAGCTGAGGCCTTTACACATTTAGCAATGATCCTCTCTTGTCTATGTTCCAGGAACTTGTCCTGCCTCCCCTTGACCCACACAGCACCATTCTCTGTCAGGAGTTCCCTGACTCCGCTCCCTCTCCTGTGAGGGACAGGGAAAGCAGAAGGTGAGGAATGTGTATCCACAGGGGCTGCTATTCTCCTCTTATGCTGCATGACCCAGTTAGAGGTAAGACATGCTAACACCATCCAGTCTTCCACTCCAATCATACCGTCCTTCAGCATTTTTACAAAGTTCTTTGCATCTGAGCACCGTCAGCTAGAAACAGCTTACTATTTGACCACAAAGCCTAATTGTATCAAATACAAGCAAAACATTTTTTTTAAATCCCAAGTAAACAGTCTGTATTCTAACACACAGGAGGTCTGTACCAATTAAATACAGTATGGCAGTATATAAATTACAGTTCTTTACAGTAAATAGTAAAATACGAGAGTCCGCTCACTGTACACAACAATCAAAGAAAGAACAGCAGCTTTTCAGTAAGGTCCCAGGTATCTCAATCATTCGCTTGCTAAGGAACAAAGAACAGATACAGCAGGCCATTCACTTCACTCATTTTTTACCATGTTACTTTACAAATATCCAGAACACTTGTACAGGCATCTACAGTATCTACATGTGGAACAACCTTCTTAGGAATTCATGAGCACCAGACATAAATCCCTCCATCATTCCCATTATTAAAATAAACTTTACAGATTAAAATTACTTTAGCAGGTTCTATTTCATCTTGATAATAACCAGCAAGTAACAAGTGCAAAGTTTGCAGTCATGATCCATTTACTGCTTCTTTGTTTCCCCACTTCCCCCCCACACACCCAAAAAACCCAAAACCCCCTAAAAAATCCAAAATTATGTCCTCTCACACCCTTGCAGTAATACTGTTTCTGCAGTCAAACTGCCCGGCTGCTTATGTTAACACGTGAAATGCCAGACATATATAGCTTCAGGCATCATTAGTCATTCCAATCAAATGCCAAGTCAGCACAGTGGCAGGCCTCTAGGAAGACAAAAAATACGTAGCAGTTGGATATTTCAGTGTGCTTAAACACGGAACATAAGGCTGCACGGTGCCCAGTGACTAAAAGAAACATGGCACCAAGTTACCAGTTAAAACATTTACAATAGAAAGATATAAACAGCAAATATGTCAGTCTAAAACAAGTTCTTTGGTAATTAAGAACAGCAAACTGTAGCTTTTTTTTTTCCAAATAGGGATTTACATCCTGTTTTTTTCCACAATAAAATATCTTTTGTTGTTTAAAATATATCTCCCAAGTTGTTGCGTAACAAATAGTCCAGTACCTCAGTTATCTACAGATCAGCTTTAACTGTATTTTAGTGTGCAGCCGTATCTGCCCACTGGCAGACAAACTATAGATACACATTCATATATATATATAATATATATATTATTTATAAAAAATTAGAGAATTAAGTCAAGGACTCTAGACAATACACATTCCGTATGGACAGATTAAAATGTACAATAGCTTCAAAAATCCATAAAGTTTTCTACACAGTAATGCGTGTAGTAAGTGCAAAAATACTGCAGTTTAGTTAATCCAAGATTTCCTGTTTTCCTGTTTCCTAGAAAAAGCAGAAGCCGCTGCATCTCCTGAATGGCAGAAGATGTCTCCTCCTGTCTTAGGAGTGGCTGATGAGCCTTGAAGCACAGAACTTTTCCGTTTCTCTGAAGTGGAAGATGCCTGACACCGTGAAGTGCTACTCCATTTCCTTGTGGAAGCTGGTGCTTTACTGAGGCGCCCAGGACGAACAAAGACACCGTGTCGTGGTTTGCAGTGGAAGTACTCTTTGCCTTTTACAATTCCATCGTGCTTTCCTTCAATGAAAAGAAATGCAGAGGATTAAATGTTGATACTTTCATTAGCACATACAACTGAGGTGCTGAAGTGTGAATAGCTTTGGTCATCTGTAAAATACTCAAGATCGTGCATGCTGAGTCATGAAGCCAGATGCTCACAATACACTAGGGCGAACAAAACTTGGAAAGGAGGGCTTGAATTGTAACCAAAAAGATCATTTTCTAAAATATTACTTTGTTAACTAACAGTTTAAAAAGTCAAGCACTTGTTCATTTTACAGAATAAACTGTCCTCAAAACCAATTGCTTGCAAAACTTAAAATTTAGCTGCCAGACAAACTTCTGGTATCAGTGATATTATTTATTATCTAAACTACTAAAACCATCATCTTAACGCTTGCAGAACACTAACTTTTTCTGACCCCTCTGAACTGAAGTTAAAGAAAACCTGTATGCTGGAATTCAGCTTTCCCCACTGGAAAACAAAAATAAATCTCTGAAAGCCACTGACAGCAAACCAATTTGACAAGTGATGCACATTGTCAGCAATGCCCATGAACATGTGTGCATATTGCTTTTTAAAAAAAATCTGCCCATTTTAGGCTTTTCTTGTTTCTCTGATCTGTAAAAGCAGATGGGTACCAATGGGAACTACTACAACATGCAAAAATATTATTCTGCATAAAGCAAGAAGAGCAGGGCTTTAAGACAGATAAAAATTGATTAGAATATCCCTATAAACAGAAAGTGGAGAATATCAGATACCAAGCTTCATGAAATTGGAGAAACTTCCCAGGACTGAATGGGAACGAAGGATTGTACTGCAACTTTAAAAATTGTTCATGCTAGCTGCACAGATAACCCAGAGCATGTTTAGTCTTACCCAGCTGAACATTTAGTTCAACTCCAACCCAGATTCCAGCTGAAAAATCCACCGTTCCAACGTATCTCACTGTGCCCATCTTATTACTTCCAACACAGACTTGCTCACCCACAGCCACCCAGCTAGGCAAGACTTGGGCTTGATCTGCAGAAGCACCTTCTTCACAATCAGAACTATCCAAGTGGTCCTTCGTAATAAAATCGTCTATGGAAGTATCATGATAAGTTTCAGGATCTGAAGTCTCTTTTACCAGTACAGAACAAAAAGGGCTCTCCACAGTACCAGCAAGCTGGTCGCCTGCTGCTGCTGCAGAGCTCTGCTGGCCCACACAAGTGCTGTGCTCCTTGTCAGGGCCTTGGGGTGACACTGAGGCGCTCATTCCATTAGAGGACAGAAGGGAACATGACTGTGGAGCCGTGGAATGGTCAAAGTCCTTCCCATCTTCGACGCCCATGAACTCTGTAAAGGAGTGATCTTCCAGAATGTCTGTTGTGTGCTCCACTGTTACTTCGCGTGCTGAAAATTCAATTGTACAACAGGTATTTTTGCTATCCAAGGAACTCAGAGCTGAAAGTGATCCAGTTCTGGGTAACTGCTGAGAGTCTCTGTCAGTGGCACTGAGGGACGGTGGTACTTGCTCCGTTAAGGCACTGTTTTCTTTCAGTGGTAACACTGGTAACTTTTCTTTTGCTAGCTCCTTTTCTGACTCTTGACATTCCTTGTTCAAAGAAGATCTTA